ACTCTTCTCGATCCTTGGGACCAAGGAAGAGATCTTGCGAAATTTTTAGGCCGACGTCATAAAATGCGAATCGAGCGATTTGCTAGCGAATTGCTCGATTCGAACACCGCGTTCTATGGACACATCCCTCCGGGTCATTAGGTTTCACGGTCCCCGGAAAGCCTTCCTTCGCAGTCACTTTTCATGTACCTAGATAAAACAAAACCTTCAATGTGAACTTTCCAATCGCCATTCAACTTCAGATTTAATGTTCTTCTACAGTCTACAACTAAATACTGACTTTTACTGAGGCACCCTATTGTAAACAAGAACATGTCCTTGCTTCCGGAATACGACACGATATGATGAATTCATTACAAAAATCCATTCATGAGGTAAAAACACTACATAACTTTATTCTAATTACATTGTGCAAGGATAACAAGTAGAATCTACAGAGGTGCGATTTCCTTGCCCTTCTCCTTGTACATATCTGCTAGGTCCTTGGGACAGGTGTGCATGTAACCTTTTCCTTCGGCACAAATTTCCTTCATGCGAGTGTAAGGATCATAATTCCTGGAAAATTCATCATCAGTGATCAGCCGCAGCAAACTTGAAAACCGCATAAAATTACACAACATAAACAAGGAATCAAGTTAATCATACCAAATAGAAAGAATATAGAAGTTTAGTAAAGGCTAACTGGTCTGACGAGTTATTAATTGCGTGTAAAATAAAGAGTTGTTCACTGTTTTGTAGACACTTTCAACCATAATTGCGTTTTTGTCTACTTATGCTGCCTTCTTTGTTTACATGTTTACGACTATAAAAATTAAGCGAGCAGTGAGCAGATTTGACAATATCAAAAGGTTTGCAAAACCTCAGCCAAACTGAACCAAATTTGACCACTTTGTGAACTACTTCGTTGGCAGACAAAAAGGATGACATGGGTGCAAGGCGCGCGCACATCGCGCTGCCGTCCATGAATTGAATTTCGACGGGAAACATTTCAGAGCACTTGTAAAGAAAGATAATACGGAAAAAGTACGGAAAAGTCTGCAAAAAAATCGGCCTGAACACAATTCAGTCTTTGCAATTGAAATGACTCCAACCCAGAAAAGTAAGCAATCGTCCACGTAAGTGCGTAGCAGACTCGTGCGACTGCGCGGAACCAACACTAGGAAAAAGAAGAACAAGAAGAAGTCCATGTAAGTGCGCACCGCTGCTAAACCGTCAAAATAGCTTCCCAAGAGCTTCGAAATTATTCAATATCCACCATTCTCACCGCATACTGCGCTCACCAGCAACGATACAATTAAGAAGCAATGAGAAAAAACTATTACTAACTATATTTTTATTACTAACTACATTTATATTACTAGAGGGAAAATTGAAAGTCCCTCAGAGGTTTGTTTTCGAATGTAGGAAATGATTTTGTTGGTTGTAGTAAGTTCCGCGATAATACACCTTTCAACAAGAAAATTCGGCTCCAACCCCATTCATGGAATGTGGAAGGGAAATTGAGTTTCTTCTTTCCAAAGATTTTTTGTGAGTTCCTCGTTGGTCGGAAGAGAAGATTACTGCTAAGCACGTCCCAGCATTGGAGTGCGTTTGTTGGAAGTACAAAAAAAGGAAACAGCATTTTCATTCTCCCATCAAACATGGTTACCAATTCAGTCTACCTCGGAGAATGGAGGGCCTACTTGGCCTGGATTAACGATCTAGGATTTGATCCCGACTGCGCACGATAAGCAGCTACGCGCTTGCCACTACACCACTTCCACATTCGAATCGCTTGCATTCTTTTATATTATCAAATCCTAACACTGAAATGGTTCAATAGTTCCCTAACCAGAAGCCCAACGACTTCTAGTAGAGGTTCTCAGATTCACTCGTAGATGAGAGCAACTGGTGAGGAAGAATACCTCACTGACCAATTTCAATCGATTTTAGTCAAGAAATAGAGAATGATAAAAAAATATAATATTAATCATCGAATCTAATGTGCATTGCACGTAAACCCGCCACAAATGGAACCATAAATTGCTCGAGAAAACATTCGAAGCGTTAAAAATTATTTGCTCAAAGGACGAACAGAAAAAAGAAGGCACTATTGCACTATTACAACCCCAGTAGGGGTGAGATGGGTCAAAAAATAATTTTCGCTGAAATTTCGGCTATGGGGGTTATCGAGGGCCCTGATCACGAATATGATATTCATTTTTGGCTCCCCCACTTTCTTCACGATTTGGGGCGCGGCCGCGGCGAGCGCGGACGAGTCGATAGTGCCCGCGAACTGTGGTGGTGATGCGTTTTCAAATTTACCCACACAGTTCGCGGGCACTATCGACTCGGCCGCGCTTTGCCGCGGCCGCGCCCCAAATCGTGAAGAAAGTGGGGGAGCCGTTTGTGGCGCCACGACTGATTCCCACTAAATTCGCTGTAACTTCTGTATAGGGGTTATTTGGGGTCCTGATTACGAATATGACATTCGTTTTTGTTGTTGGCGCTATTCGGCGCCTATTTCCTGCTCGTCTGCGCCCTCGCACTAATTAGATCGCAATCAGGACTAAGCCTTTGAATAGTGGAGGGCTCCAAAGTGAGTAGGGCACTCCCCTGTGGTCTAACACACTCCAACTTTTGCCACACGGTGCGTGGTTTACCCACTCCGGAGTTTCACTCCCCTCCCCTAAGCTTAGTCGTTGGCGCTATAGGTGAGGAAAGCTTAGAAAATCAGAAAGTATGCGTTAAACAGCACGAATGTGAAAAATGAGTGTCATATTCATGATCAGGCCCCAAATAACCCCTATTCAGAAGTTTACAGCGAATTTCGGTGATAATCAGTTGTTGGCGACGCCAACTTGGCGCCAGCGCCAAAAATGGATGTCATATTCGTGATCAGGACCCTCGATAACCCCCATAGCGAAAGTTTCAGCGAAAATTATTTTTTGACCCATCTCGGCCCCCATTGGGGTTGTAATAGTGCAATAGTGCCAAAAAAATGTAATACCCAAAAAAGGATAGTAAGATAAAAAGAAAAAAAGCCACATGTTAGAGCGACCTACTTGTTAAAATTCACTCGTACTTGTGCGTGCCGGGCATCACAGTATAAGACGCATATGAATCACAGTTCCGGCTACTGCCGCGGTAAACGCAACGGCTAATGCTCTTCGACCATAGGAATGGATCATTCCTCGCATTGCCATGGGAGGTGCCATTCTATAATGTCGAAATTACAATATACCACTCAAAAAATCTGCAGAGAAGGCAAGACCTTAGGCTGGTGTCAGGGTCCGCGATCCGTCACAGGTTTCGCTGATTTTCGCAACTCCCGCGACTCACGCGACGGGTCACGGAAATCACAAGTGCCCGATCAATACTGCAAGGTGTTCTTCAATCCCGCCGTCACTTTTCTTTGATAGTGATGGCTGAATGACGACTGCTCATGATTCCACTTGTTTCATATTCAGTGTTTCAAATGTTCAAATGGGGCACTTGCAATTTTTGCGATCCGCGCGAAGCCTGCGACGGATCACAGGAATTGAAAGTGCCCCATCAACTCCTCTCCCCTTTTTTTCACGTTATAAGGCAGCATAAGAACAGCCTCCTCTTCAATCTTACTGCCAAGCAGAATTCGCAGCAGGATTAAACAACACCTCGCAGTATTCATCGGGCACTTCCAACTCCTGTGATCCATCGCAGGTTTCGCGAAAATCGCGAAAATCGCGCAAATCGCGAAAATCGCGCGAAGCCTGCGACGGATCGCGGACTCTGACACAGCCTTACGATGCGCTCACAACTCGCCAAGTTTTAGTCAGCGATCAGCAGTCGCATGCACGCCAGTTGCAAGCGCTTCCTAAGGATCGGATATATACTTTAAGTACAGTTTGCAGTTCGAATGTGGAGTAGAAACGTATTGATCATGGGATCGCACGCAGGAACTGCAAAGTATGACCCGACCTTGAAATTGCTCCAAAAGGAGGCCTCCAACGACTTAAGCCCACGTTAGCCCTCTGCATGACGTTGCGTAACCAATGTATATTCATTTGTGTCTATATGGGGAGGGTAACCTCTTCTGCCTTAAACCTACAAATCTAAATTTCTGATTGTCATTGAGCCCCTCCATCGCAACTTCTGAACGCGCCCTGAATTTTGACTACGAAAATGCTTGCCATGGTTTTGAACGCATGAGTGTTCTGCGCCACGATGCCAATCCTAAGTTCGAACTTTTACGTGAGCACATCAAAAAATCCTTCAAACTAACCACAAAAGAGCTCATATTCCGAAATTCTTTTCCAAATATGAGCAGAAATGGTAATTCGACGGACGCTCAATTAAATCAGCCAGAAGCTGGGCATTGTGGACGTCTCATTTGGTAATAAAACTTGGCTCTGGGACAATTAACAGAACACCCATCCCTTCTAAAACCTTATTGCGAATCCCGTCCGAATGCGTAATAAAAGCCAAGCTTTTTACGCTTTTCAACTTAGCCGGAGCCAGCTATGGACTTTCTTACGCAGGTGAGAAGTTTTGCAAGTCTTATGCAGTCTTTGAAGAAAGAAAGATCTCAAAGGACAGATGATGGTAGAATATAGAAGAATTTCTGAGTTGCCGATGATTTCCGCGCGCCGTGGCACGACGACCGCACCGCGGACGCATTTCGAGTACGAAATCTCGCTGGAGCACGAAATCTTCGCTTTTGGCTGCCTATGCGGTTTTATCTGTCCATCGACCTCTCGCTTCAGGTTGTTTAACAGTAAAGTTTTCTTGCAAGCCATGATTCAACCATAACGTTGTAATATTGCGATGTGCCAGTATCTTGTCCTGAAGCGTGTAATATTTTTTCTAGATGAAGCAGTTAGGATAATTACAAGGTCTTAAGTTTGCAGAATCCCTTTGGCATGTTATTTCCGTTCAGGAGTCATCAAGTGTATTGGAACATTTTTCATCGCTTATATTTGATGGCGCATTTTCGTGAACCTCGGTCTTCATTATCACTCAGGTCGACATTCCTTTATCGTCACTCACATTTGTCGATGGCCCCATCAATCTAATTGCAGGTTCCCTTCCTGCCAAAAATGGTGTGACAAAAAACGGAATGAGGGTAAAAATCCTAAGCTGAAGATGAAGCCAAATTATGGACCTGTCAAGAACAGGCACACGTTCAGAGGTTCAAATCACAGTATGAATCCAGGCAAGTGAAGATCAGATTCCTTATTTTGAAAAATCGAAATCATCATAACTTTTTTAGGACTACGGGGCTTTTCATGAAATGCAGTTGAACATATTCTGAAGACAGAGGATGGTTGTCTGTGGGCGCAGCATCGAGGTAGAAGTACCGGTAGATGTTATGCCGCCACCTCAAGGTTAAAGTCTCATGATCGCAAGATCACGCGATCGATACGTATCTATTCCATTGAACATATCAATACCACATAACTGCAGATCGTAAAATCAAAAACGGTGACCGAGGCCTTTGGAAATTCATGATTAAAATGTCTTTCAAATGTAGATACTTGAAGAAACGGTTTTTGATAGCAGATTCCATCGAACTGAAACCGAAAGGATATTAAAAGGGGAATGTCTGATTCTAATGGACTCTTTACAATGCCGCTAACAATTAAAATAACCAGGCTATTAAGAAGCACTCGTTGAACTGTTAATAAGCCAACATAAGCCAATTGAGCATTCCTCCTCTCCCGTGTGGCTGGAACGTAATCATGCCATTTTTGGCTTCTACAAGGGCCCTGTCAGTGGGACCGTAATAGGAGATATTCTCTCGGGGAATGATTCTTACAATATATTTACTTTTCCTTTTTTCTCTTTCTGGGAGCCAGTCTATTGTCTTGGTAATTCTAATTATGGTTTACAGACTCGGACCTTAAAGATGCGAAAAGCTCACATCTCCGCTCCAAAGCAACAATCAATCGTTTGAGAATGTATAAGAGCTTCAAGCCTATACGGTGAGTGGTTCAGCTTCCAGAGCGTTGAGCGGCTGCTTATTCGTTCGTCATCACATCATCATTCTCACATGTTTTTAGAGACAAAGACGGGACGATCCTTAAGCAGCTCGGCTCCAAAGCATGGCGGTTAAAATCTGGCGCTGTCGCACGAGTTGAACCAAACAGAAAATGGTTTGGTAAGTGCCTTGTTCGAACTTGAGGAGCGATCACAGCGTGAATGCAAGTTTTTGATCTTTTGATTTTAGGAAACACCAGAATTGTCGGACAGGACCAGTTACAGAAGTTCCAAGAAAATTTGGGAAAAGTTATGCGAGATCCTTTCCAGGTCAGTTGAGGGCTACAATCATGTTGCTCTGTTTCTAACGATTGAAAAAAAACCTTAACTATTCTAGGTAGTAATGAAACAAACAAAACTTCCCATCAGTCTGCTACAGGAAAAGGCCAAGGTATGGAGTTTGCTGTCATCGTGGTGCATTTGACATTGTAGACCATTTTCAGCAACAGCGTGTTCACGTAACTGATACGGAGTCTTGATCACTTTGGAAAGAAGGCTCTGAGGAAGAAGGCGAAATTGTCTTGTGAAAGCCTTGAGGTCTGTCCTAACTGTCGCATAATGCGCCTATCTCTTTGATGTTGATCGTGCCATTTTTAGGATATGACGAAGTCGAATTGAAGAACGCAGTGAAAAATACGATGTAGCGAAGGATCGCGATATACAACCAGATGATCGTGAATTGATCCGCTTCGAAAATCCCAACCCTCTTTTCAAAGCAGGTCAAAGTAATCGTGTTTGGGGCGAATTATACAAGGTGATTTCCTCTCGACCTGTTATCTAAATCTTTATAAAACTCTGTAGACTGGACAAACTCTATGTTGCATTCTTCATGTACTCTTCTTCACTTTGCAGGTAGTTGGATTTATCTATGTTGCTGGTGCAAGTGATAGTGGCCGTGCCTATGGGCACTCGCATGTCGTCATGTTGAGGAGTTCTTGCGGAAGGAAAAACCTCACAAACATCTTGTAACTGTCATCAACAAAGTGGATCTTGTTCCTACATGGGTTACTGTGAGTTCATGTATCGCTTTTACTAACTATGTTCTCATCGGAGAAGGCTCGGTCTACGATACCGAACCCGTGCTAGCTTAACTCGAGCGAAATCATCACATTCAAGAAATACAGTATCTTTAGCATTGTCTAATATAATATTGTTTACCGTACGTAAGTATGTAGTTGTCCGATGTGTACATATTTTAGCGCAAATGGATTGGCGAAACTTTCAAAAGAAACTACCTACATTGCATTATGCGTACGATTCAGCACTCCTTTGGAAAAGGGGCTTTGATCAACTTATTGCGTCAGTTTGCCAAACTGCATAAGGACAGGCAACAGGTAATCCCCATCTTATTCTTTAGTTATTCCTTGTTCAATACACAACACGGAAAGCTGCACCAATTCACTTTATATCAAAGCATATTGTTTTTTCTTTTGTTTTTTTATTTACCATTATAACAATTTTGCATCTATTGAAAATAACTAAGTTTGTGTGTTCCTACGTTGACAATACGAATCGAAGAGTTGTTTTGGATCCGGTTCCGGAGAGCCGTTGTCCGTAGACACTGGTGCATCTTCATTTGTGTGCTTTGCTTCTCCTGCACATATCTCTTTTTCTTTCGTGGGCCATAACTTCTGTTTCGGAACTCTTTGTACTGCGCCTCCAACCGCTGCTGATCATTCTTCGTTTTCTGAAAAGCGGTTCATTAGGAAAAGTGTGACAAACTTATTTACAACAATTGTTTACCTCATGCATTTCCTGGACATTTCGCAGTGTGTTTTCAAGTTCTTCTCTTGTTTCATTGTCGTCAGGTTCCACCATATCAAGTAGTGACTTTGTGGATTCTATTGCCGATACGTATTCCACAAGTTTCTTTGCAATGTTTGTACGCATCCGCATGAAGCGTCGCTGTTCTTCTTAACAACAGATGGTCAGTAAGTAAGAGGAAAAAAATCTATTAAGTGATTCACTTAATTTTGGTCATGTTTTTGCTAAAAAAAAAACTAATGTGAAAACCGCAACAACCCTTTCCCATCATTTTTTTTCAGAACTGGTGAATCCAATACGTCTTAAATTTCAAAGTGATCCTTATTTGACTTATTTGTACCTCTTGAGCTTTTCGAAATCGTCAACCAGCCGAGCTGGTTGCATCTATCTGATAACGTGGTGTTTAGATACGGTATGTACAGTGACTCCGCTGGGCGGAAGATTTTCAATCCGAGCGGCAAAGGTGTTTCTCTGTGTTTTTTTTTCCAAAATTTGGCCATGTGCCGAGCCGAGGAACCGGAAAGGGTGGCAGATCGCGTTGCAACCATTTTTTCTCTTCTAATTCTTTCCATTGCGTATAGATGTTTCGAAACAGCCGCTTTAGTAATTTTCAAGTCATCTGTAAGCTCCATAGCGTTACGCAATGCTTACAAGTTGTTAGTATGGAATTTTTTGGCTGACGGCGTTTTTTTTGCCAAATACATCAGAATAACCACTCCTAAATAAATGAAAGTGATATCTGCCGATAGCATGTGATAGAATCCGGTCACTATAGGCTTTCATAAAAGTTTGATAATTCTAAGTGAAGCTATATTTCGTAGTAAAATGTCGAAAGTATCAAATATGAATAGTTTCTGCTCAACTTGTATTTATTAAGTTCCATTTACTATTGAACGCCGCTGACCAGAACTGAAACATCCACCTAATAGGTTGAGGGGTGAACGAAAAACAGTAACTCTTCAAATTCTGATTATTAAACTTCGTACCTGCTCCTAATTCAGTTAGGACATGTCTTTTCCTTTTTTTCATGGAGTTCTTCGCAAGTTCGAACTGAGTCTCAGATGAAGCCTTTTTCCCTCTTCCTCTTGCAAACAAGCGGTCAATGTTTTTCCTCGCTTCATTGTCAATCTCAGCCCAGCGATCATCTGGGCATTTCAGAGTGACCATGTCCGAGTTCCTAAAGAAGAAATCCATGAAAATGACAATATAGCAGTGCAAAATAGTAGACATGCCCTCACTTACCTTTCAAGTATTGTGAACAAAGCTGCGAAGGCTTTTTGCTTGTCCGGTTCGCAACCCTTGACTACCTGAAGCAGAGGCTATTTTGGAAAAGAAAAAAGTTTAGAGCAGCTAAGCTTTCATACCTTCGAAACCACTTTACTCATAGGCTTGTTGTGGTTGTAGACGTAAATCGTCGTATGCATCAACAAGTATTTGTAGTTGACCTGACGGCATATTCTGCCTCATAAAAAGCGCAAAAGCTGCCTGATGATAAACTCCGCGTAGTATCGACGCACAGAGTTGAACAATATAGTGAGTTCCATCGGTCACTTCGTAGGGATCATTGGCCATTTCAATCAGTTCGAGCAATCTACGAATGTTGTTTGTGAGGATTTTCGATCACAGCCCTTGGTTATGGTTCCAAACCTGGATGAGCACCTACCTGGTTTCTTTCTCTGTTTCTGTACGCATCTTCTTGTCATATTTACCCACGTGTAATCCTCCCGCATTGCTATCCGAAGGCTTTGACATGAGGTTTTCTGCTTGGTAGACTTGTATGGCATCGATTTGTTTGTCTAGTTGATCTTCTATTTCGCAATGGTTAGCGTCCAGCTCGCTCCATATCTTTGTAAGTCTTCTTGCCAATACATCTTGAAAAGTGAAGTTTTCTTCAGAAGATTTCACCACAAAACACTTTGCCTTCGATTGCGTGAAAACTATGCGATCGATCCGGAAACTTAATTCCTTTGCAGCTGCTCATGTAAATTCTTATTTGTGTACGATAACCACTAACCTTCAACTTCTTCAATAGGAATGCAGTAAACTTGGGCTCCCGTCAAGGGTTGTTGCTTGGTTTTTATGAAGCGGTCGACCTCTGGTATTGAAATCTGGATCAAGTCTCGCACATTTTGTCTCATACCATTTTCGCTTCCCTGAATTTTTACACAAAACATTGCTACAACTGAAAGAGGCGTTCCTTAGGTAATTCACGCACAAATTTGTATTTCCTCCTCCGTTTCTGTGGTTTTTATAGAGGGAAAAAGGATTGGGCAGCCAATGATTCTAGGGGAGGCTCGATCTCCTAGATGCCCCTTCCCACGTTTTTTTTTTCTTTAGTCTTCTAGTTGTAAAAAGGCTCATTTCAGTGTCCTTCAAACTTAAATACGAAGCAGTTATAGTTTAGTTTGGGTTAGTAATTGTGAGAGTGAGGTAACTGCCACGCCTATTGGTTTTTGAAGTTATATCGGAGGCATTACCTTAATAAGTACGCAGCTTAATTCGGGGCAAGTATCTGTATGACTACCTTTTACCGGTTTGACAGAGCTGCCAGCATCGGAACGCTTTAAGTTGTCTGTTCGTGTCCTCGTTGTGCAAATGTGCGTTTTTGTGTATGCGGTCAATGAGTTGATCGGGCTTTCTATAACTTAAATTGATGATAGTTCAGGCATGATTTTAATATCGTCGATTTTCTCTGAGGACCCATTGTTTGCGCGCTGGTGTCGAGGAAGATGACTGGTCCTGTGCCTGATCTTCGAGCGTGATCGACTCGTCGATGTTAGCCCTATCCATAAATTTCATGCAGTTGTAGAATCGCCATCGTCTTGGTTTCAACGGGTCATTTTCGTACAGACGGGTTATTCTCCAGTAGTTGTCTTTCAGATTTTTCCATGTCTTCTTCATGTCATCGGCTGAAAGTGACCGCTGTGATGCTTGCACAATGAAAAACTTGGAACGAAATGAAACTCACTGTTGATGAGAATTCCAAACTGGTGCGTGAGCTCTTCAGCCACCTCTGCCCAAAGCTTCGCTCTCAATTCGTTGTCATGACCTGACATGGACTTCTTTCAAAGCTTTTCCAGCTTCTCAGACTCAGGCGAGCGCCTTCACGAGATGCCTGTCCTATCGGTTTAGGCGCATTTCAGATGACCATTCTACTGCAAAGATACACTTCATGATTTTTGCTGGATGTTAGGCATTACAAGATGGGAGGGAGGAAGTGAAGAAGTGGATGTATGAGTACAGCACGAACTGCAAGTGGGAGGTGGTGGTGGTTGTTGTGTCGCGCGATTACGCGCATGCAACGCCGATCGATTGGCGCAGGCGTGGGGGTGGGGACATGTGGACGAGCACGAGGCGCCGCGCCGGGTGGCCGTCGGGACAACCCGACGCGTCATGCCTTTGTGGATACCGCCAGCCTGGCCAGTGTCATCAACAGCGACACTCGTTGCGAATGGCACAAATGCAACCGCTTGACCTAATTGGAGATCATCCGCCGCGATTTGCTTTGAAAGTAGTGACCTGTTGAGCATTTATTATCTAAGAGTTGTTGCATAGTAGTAGTAGTTACTTTCTGAACAGATTCTGGCAACCTTAAACGTTCTGTAGGAGGTTGTGGTCGCAACGGCTCTGTTCCTTCACTATTCCCTGTTTTCAATGCGGATGTATTGATTGCTGTCTTTTCTTGTCGTCATGAGCGAGTTCTTTTCCTTTTATTTTATTTGCTTGGTGTAAGTTTGTATTCACTGAGTCATCATTTGTTTTCTTTCATTTTCTCCAAAATTCGTTGTATGGCGCGATTTTGGCCGGAGGGAGCGAATAGTGTCATTGATTCTTTAAAGCTGCGTTGTGTAGATAGGGACAGCGTGTGTTCATAACTAACTATTCATGATTATCAAGGTGCTGTTAACGAGTGCTTGAGAGCCTTCAATACTGTGTTGTTCTATTAATAGACCGCTCAAATGAAATACGATTGACAGTATCGGCATAATAAGTATGGTCCTTGCTTGGTCCCTTTCTTCATAATCCGTGGCACCCGCTCAAGGGTTGGGCTTGGGTTTTTATGAAGCGGTCGACTCTGGTATTGAAATCTAGGAATCAAGTACTCGAGCACGTGAACCCCTCATTTTTGTGTCTGCATACCACGGTTCGTTTCCTAAATCCGCATTATCGTATGACGTCGAGTGAATGTTGTACGCAAGAACATGATTAGAACTGAAGGTTGGCGTTCGCTGAAGGTAATTCAGGCGCACAGATTTAATGTATTTCCCTTCCGGGTTCTGTAGTTTTTAAAGGAGGGGAGAAAAAGGACTGTGGGCAGGCATTGCGTTCTTAGGGGAGGGTCATCTCGTTAAGTATGCACCCTTTCCACGACTTTCGTTATGTCTTCTAGGTTGTAAAAAGGCTCATTTGTGTCCTTCAAACTTAAATACGAAGCAGTTATAGTTTAGTTTGGGTTAGTAATTATGAGAGTGAGGTAACTGCCACGCCTATTGGTTTTTGAGTTATATCGGAGGCATTACCTTAATAAGTACGCAGCTTAATTGGGGTAATTATCTGTAACTAATTACCTCTTGACATGAGCTGCCAGCATCGGAACCGCTCAAGTGTCTGTCGTGCTCTTCGTTGTGCAATCGTTTTGTTATGCCGTCAATGAGTGATCGGGCTTTCTCTAACCTTAAATTGTGTAGTTGAGGCTTGATTTTTTTTCATCGTCTTTCTCTGAGACCCGACCTTTGTTTGCGTGGTGTTCCGAGGGAAGATGACTTGGTTCCTTGTGCCTGATCTTTTCGAGCGTTGATCGGACGCGTCGATGTTAGCCCTATCCATGAATTTTCATGCAGTTGTAGAATCGCCATCGTCTTGGTTTCAACGGGTCATTTTCGTACAGACGGGTTATTCTCCAGTAGTTGTCTTTCAGATTTTTCCATGTCTTCTTCATATCATCGGCTGAAAGTGACCGTTCTGATACTTGCACAATGAAAAACTTGGAACGAAATGGAAACTCACTGTTGATGAGAATTCCAAACTGGTGCGTGAGCTCTTCAGCCACCTCTGCCCAAAGCTTCGCTCTCAATTCGTTGGGTGGCATGCGGCTGCCACTGGAACTTCTTCCAAAGCTTTTCCCGCTTCTCCACGCTCAGCGCGAGCGCTTCACGAAGGTCGCCCGTCCATTGGTAGCGCACTTTCAGTGACATTCTCTGCAAAGATACACTTCATTACATTTGCTTAATGTTAGGCTTAAAGGATGGGAAGGGGGAGGAAGAAGGTGGTGTGAGAGTAGCGAATGCAAGTGAGGGTGTTTCCGCGAGTACGCGTGCAAAGCCGGATCGATTTGGCGCGGAGGCGTGGTGAATGTGGACAGCAGCGAGGCGCGCGCGGTGGCCGGTCGGGAGGCAGCCCGACGCAGTCATGCCCTTTGTGGAGACGCCAGCCTGGCCGGAAGTGTGGCCACGCCGCCAGTCGGCCCATTCGGTTGCGAAGGGCCACGAAATGGCATCCGCTGTGACCTAATTGGGAGATATCCGCAGAGATTTTGTTTGAAAGGTAGGTGACTGGTTAAGATGTTGTTATCGGAGAATTTGTGGCATAGTAATGAGTAATCGATTGCTGGGAAGATCCTGGCAACGGTAAACATTTCCTAGAAAGGGCAGGGGCGGTGTCGGCACGCGCGTGCTGTTCCTTCATCTATCATGTTTTCAAATGCGAGGTGTATTGATTGCCGTCTTTTCTTTGCGTGAGGCATGAGCGGAGGCTTCTTTTCCTTTATTTTGTTTTATTTATGAGGTTTGAGGCCTGATTGATTCCTGGTGATTCATTACATTTGTTTTTCTCTTCATTGTCAGTTGATTCTCTCCAAAATACGTGTCTTCTTGAAACGAGCCTCCGATCAAATGTCCATATCTTTTTTTCAAACAGTGACAAATTTTCAGTTAAGAATTCTGAATCTTTTGGTTGTCCTTTGTGATCAATAGTCCAATCAATCCTAAACCTGTTTCTTTCTCAGGGAAACTGCATTGTTTGTGGTTAGATTGGCCGGGTTATCTGCGAGGTTCGATTCATTGGAGGGAGCGAAAGATTTTCAGCTGATTTCGAAAAGGTGGTAGAGAGGCCTGACAGCGAGTGTTCATAAACTAACTTATTCAGTATGACTTAGTAAAAGAGTTGTTAACGAGTGTTGAGAGCCTCAATACGTGGTTGTTTCTATCAAATAGACCGCTCAAAGAAATCGTTGAAACTATCGATAATAAGTATTCGCTTGCCTTTTTGGTCCTTCTTCAATTCGAAGGCGAAGAAAGCCGAAACGTCAGCCTTGTTAATTTTGGAGAGGCTTCAATAAACAATAAAGCTTCTTCAATTCCTTCAGTAATTCTATCACATCGGTGATCCGAAATCGTTTCTAAGCGCTGCCTTGTGCTAAATAGTTCCTCTTTCAAATAGAGTTAAAAAAGGCCTAGCGCGGAGACTGAAAAGTCTCCTCAAAAGCAACCAGTTTCTGGAAACAGCCCAATCAAATGTTCCTTTCTCTTCTTTAAACAATGGCAATTTTTGGAAATTCCGAATCTTTGGATAGTTTTTTGTGATTAAATGTTCATCCAATCCTATAACCTTGGTATTTCTCAGAAAACCACATCGTTTTGTGTTAGTGCTGCGCGTTTTGGGCTCCCGTTGAATTTACTCTGTTCGTCGCCAATCGATCGAGCAAATTGCATTGCAAGAGCGATACTAATGGAATAGACACCCATATATAATGTCTGCGCTCGCACTCCCACTGCGCATGGATGAGGGTCATCAAAACCAAAACTTGTCGATTTCTTTTTTTTTGTGCTCACGGTTTTTTGATTGATATCTTCGTTGTAGTAAATATAGTAGATAATTTCTACCATGGTAACGTTTAGAGTGATTTCGAGCTTTATTAAGTGAAACACTCCTTCAAATTTTTGTAAAAACGAAAACTTCGTTTATTAATAATACTGATGATTATGATCTGATCCGATTGAAGGCATCGATCTGATGAATTTTGAGTTTACATCGTTTTTCAGAAACACGCAATAAAACTGTTGAGTTTTTCTCATTCAGGAGTTTAGTCTAATTTTTTGAGTTTTAGATCAGTGTTGGTTTTATCGGATATCCGAACGTTGGAAAGTCATCAATAGTGAATACGTTGCGGAAGAAAAAAGTATGCAAGACAGCACCGATAGCAGGAGAGACCAAGGTGAGGTATATGCTCAAGTGTTGTTCTGTATTCAGTCCAATTTAATTGTTTCTTCAAGTTTTTTCTCACGTAATTAATGTCTCGAGTGTTATGAAAAGGTTTCCATTTGTCTAACGACTGCATTCCTTTGTGTACTTTTTGTGTTTTCATAATCTCTGCATCATTCCTCCCATTCACTCGAATATCTCCTCCGTTCTTCTCCTCTATATTTAATTATTCTTTTGCTTTGCCTCCTTATTCAGTAATTGTTTTGCTCTAGGTTTGGCAATATGTCATGCTTATGCGTCGTATTTACATGATCGATTGCCCTGGTGTGGTGTATCCTCAAGGAGATTCGGAGACACAGATCATTCTCAAGGGAGTGGTAAGTAGAATGTGTTTTCCTCCATCACTCTTCTTTTCTTCCAACTCGCGTTAATCCCGCGCTGACGCACGGTCCGCAGGGTTTTCCTCTTTCCCTCTAATGTATCAATTTCATCATTAAGGTGCGTGTTGAAAACGTTAAAGATCCGGAGAACCATGTGCAAGGAGTACTGGATCGTGTGAAACCTGAACACTTGATGAGACATTATGGAATTGAGGAGTGGACAGATGCTGAAGATTTCATGACGAAGATCGCTGTAAAGCAAGGCCGTCTTCTTAAGGTTATTTCCATTTTTCGTCTCATTGTCTCGACGTACTGTACAACTCAGCTGTTTAATTTAAGGGTGGTGAACCTGATATCACGGCAATAGCAAAATCGGTCCTGAATGACTTTCAACGAGGCAAACTGCCCTATTTCGTTGTTCCACCAGGCTGTGAAGAACGGGCAAAGAAAGAATTCGATCAGGTACGCTGTTGAGTGGCTGTTTTATTAGTTGTATGTAATGACGCATATTCAAAGTCTTGACCTCACCGGATGCTGAGGTCTTTTTGTATGGCTCTCGCGTTGAAAGCTTGTTTTCAAATTAACGATATATAATTTTCAGGCTCCGATAAATGAGTTATGTGCTGATGATGATGAACCGCTAGCTGATATGAAAAGTGATCTAGGAGATGATGAAGAAGAGAAAGAAGGCAGCAGTTCAGTAGACCCAGGGAGTTCTGGACAGATAGAAGAAATGGATGAGGTGCGAATTGTTTTCAGCTGGTTCGAGGGCAGTCAATTGGGTTTGCAAACATAGTGCTAGATGTAAATCGAGTAGAAGGACGTGATCGTGGTCGAGGATATGGGAAGATATTTGTCTCTGCCTCGACATGTGAGTGACAGAGTTTGGCGATGATTCTTGCAATCACTCATGCACGAGGCTTATTAGTACTTAAGAGACAGAGCCTTGATGACAGATGAAGAAGACTGGCTCTTGCTTAACAACGCTGATAAAAATCATCATTCGCTTTCCAGTAAATTGGTCTTTCTCACTGAACAGTTCGGGTGGATTGATGCCTGCTTTCAAAATGTTCCTCGGTTGTGGGGGCGAAACGCTAAGTTTTTCGGAATCACTTGATAAAATAACGTCTTTTTGTTCTGTAATGATGATAGTTCAATTCATAGTGATACTTTTCAATCCAGGACGATGAAGCTGACACCGGACTGTCGGCTCTTTGTGCTCCGGTCTTTCTGACTTGTCAGGAGTAAGCGATCTCGAGGAGGATCTTGAAGCCATGCATTCCGATGACCAAGAAGAAAAGGTTTGTTTCCGCTTCCAATTTTGTATTTCTTCGCAAATTTTTCGTCATTTTGTTCAGGAGAAAGACGCTCGCGAAAAAGCCGCGGCCAAAGAGAAAACGAACTAGAGGTGTACGTGCCGGGAAGAAGCACGACAAAAAGAGGCGAATAGGGGGCAAGTCGATCATTGAGGCAGCAGCTGGGTCATCGGTTAGTTTTCAGCGAATTTTCCATGTTTTTGTAGTCATATGGCACGGGAGTCTATTATTTTGCTTTAAGAAACGCTCCTGGCGTTGTTGAATTCGGAGCGAAGAAGGCTGGCAGCAAGAAGGATAACTCATGGCGAAGAAAGCTGCAGAAGAAACAGAAGGTGAAACATCAACAATAGGAAATTGTGAAAATTACTTGCGCTGCCTTATTGTTTTTCGGTTGTTGTGGAACGAAATATTGTTGAGCGTTCATACTTGTTACGTTATTGCTCTTATAGCGTCAATTGGAATATACCTTGTTTTGTTGCCTGTTGCGAAGTTGGGAAGATGTCTATATTGTTGACAATAAAGAAATCTTGTTGTTATCTCCATCGTTTGTTTATGTACGGTTTAGTACCCGATTACTAATTCTGTCTGAGACCGTCGGTTAAACGTTTTCTTAGTTTTCATTAGTTATAGAAATCGGAGCAAAACGTACTCAAAAAGCATTGTTATGGATGATGCTGCTACTGCATGTGAAGGTTCGTTAGGTGCTTTTGTTGAGGTTTTGTTGTGCTGATAGGGTGAACCAGACCTTAAAGTATACTTGCAACTTGATATTCAAGAAGGATGGGCTCAGCAGGTGCTGAATAATTTGTAAGGCCAGTAAAGGGTGGTGATAAGCGTACGTAGCACTGCCACTATTTGCGGTTACTTCGCAACGATCCCCTAAAGGGAAACCTCAGAATTAGCCCTACTAGTGGGAAGACACTGCGAAGGAAATCGTAGGTTCCGTACCTCACAGATCACTCCAGCTGTCGCAAATTGGCGGTTTATTTCTTATATATTTCCTCGACGGCCTGCAACCATCAGCTCTGTCCCCGTTGGCAACGCTTCCCACTCCACCGCGATTGATGTAAAATCAGCGTTGCGCTCTCGAAGGCGCGTCGTACTCCGTGTTTGTCTTCTTTGAGTCCTCTCGCCATCGTACCACATCTGAGTTTTACGCTGAAAGAATCAAGGCCTTGATTTTAGCGTGCTCAAAGAATTTCTCTTGCTTTCCTTTTCACTTTCAGGTCGTTTCGTAGCTCAGCCATCACTACGAAACGCTCTTATCACCCGTTTTACCCCGGGCTTGCCTTTAATTTAACCAGCAAAAGGAATCTCATAGCTTCAAATTCTGTCTTGAGTACTGGATCTGAGGTTACTCATTTGACTATCTAAACTTAGTGCTTGTGTTTGACACTCAAACCATTCCTGAGGTAGTAATCAGATGAACAATTCGTTGAGTATATGGAGGTATAATACGGCTAAACATATAGATATATGTATTCTTTCGGCTGGTTGTAGAGTTGAATGGGGCTTGTTTGGGTCAATTTTTTAATAGAGTGTAAGTCATAGTTAACGGGACTCCTTTGCGGATTTATGGCTAATGTATGTGAGAGTTTTCCAGAGAAAGTCGACGCTTGAGAGTGTTTTGTCTCAGGAGCACTTGCTTTAACATTTTCAGCTTCTTCTTTCCGTCAATAGAATGTTTCGCAATTTTCAACATAAGAGGATGAAGATGCTTCCCTCCAAGAAGTCGATGTAATGAGGTTGAATTCGTTTTGCTTTCAGACTTGAAATTCTTTGAGAGGAGGCTGACGGAAGTAATATCTCATATGGGCCCGAGATGTACTCGCTGGAGAAGTGCGTCATGTTTGTCTTACTTCTTACCATTTATGAATCTTTTGCAAACATTTGCATTTCCTGAAACTGTTTGTTCTTGGGTCCAATCTATTTCTTGAAGTCGTTTTACGTCAAGTTAATTTTTCAGTTGTCCTTTTATTGATATCCTTGTCTGCTGTGCTAACGTCTTACAATTGGATTGCTGATCCTACACTGCGATCGGTATGTTTTGCCTTTTGCGTTTATTTATTTCAATATGTAAAGGACCACCATATGCGGCGAAGTTCCCGCCAGTTCTTTCTTTTTGCTAAACATCGCCCCTTAAAAAACATAAACATATTTTTATCCCCTAACCTTTTATATTCTTTTCTGCAATGATTTCCTGTTTGACACCCTTAGTAGAGCACTTTTTCACCTCTCCCCCGCCTTTCGAATCGATCTTTTTCCCTACATTGCTTTTGGGAGTTCCTTACCGCCCAAGGCTGTAAATTTGAGTTGCGCTGTCGACAGGATCTTATATCTTCTCGTCTTCAGAATCTATCTCTTCAGAATACTAAAAAATTTTGTTTCCAACTTCTTTTTTGTTAGCAACACTGTTAAAAGTTCATCTTCCGTTGGGCAGTTCTACGAATAGAGTCATATTTCCTAGTTCCTCTAACCTCAAGGATAGCATCGTGGGGTGGGAACGCGTCCCACTGTTAAAAATTAGCGATCCCAGAGGGCCTCACGCTCAGATCAAATGTTCTAGCGCGATTGTTGATCCTGGGTTGGGGCGACCAAAATATGAAGCTATAGAATTGCCTAATGAGTCAAGTAAGACTAAAATTTGGAAAAAGGCGTGGTTTTAATATGTGCTCCTTTTTTAGGTGTCTTTGTGGGAGTCGCTACAAAGTCATCCAGTCTTTAGTGTGAGTGTGCCGCTGTTGTTCATTCTCTTCACAGCGTTTGGTATTCATAGGAGGGTTGTCGAACCATCAATGTGAGTTATTTTTCAAGTTTTGATTAAATGTTCTTGATTATCGTTTTTACTTCAAGTATTGGCAATCTTCTTTTTTTATTCATTTACTTGGATCTCTTGCGTAAATTCCTTGGCCTTCACCTCTTAACTGCCTTTTCGTTTTTCTGCGTTTTGTGTTTTTACTCTCTGCCCACAAACTACACCAGCATTGCTTATGTTACAAATTCAAATTGGTTGTTTCTCTCCTGAACCAGTACTGCTATATTTTTTCACGTTTTCTCTTTTTTCACGTTTTGTACTTAACCACATTTTTGAGATCCATCAATTCAAGCCTGTCGCGTAGTTGAATACGTTCACTATTTTGTTTAATTATATGGCAGAATGCATAAAAGTCCCACATATTTTCTCAAAATAGTGTGATTTATTGCCGTCTCGATGGTGCTTTAGACCCTTTTCCATTTTTTTGGGACTTAAATAATCCATGCATTTCATGGAATTATTTGTGCAGTGACTGTGTAACTGTTGTCATCGCGCACTTCTCGCTGGAGAATTTCCAGTGATATTGCCTCCGATCTTAACGTCCTTGTCTTCTTCTGCTTGACAATTTTGCTTAATGTCCTCACAATACATTTTGGTCGTAGGATTTTTTATGTGCTGAGATATATGCAGCTCGCCATAAAACGCTGCTATTACCCCTAGTCCAAGGAGGATGGCTCTCAGAAGTCTTGCATCCGTTTGAGCAACGGACATTTGAGCGAGATTGGTTCACAACGTCTGGGCAGTGGGGGGCTATATTACGCATCACCACGTCATCATCGTTCTTTGTGTTTCTTCGATTTTCTGCATGAAACATATGCAGCGTTGCGCTGCAAGAAGTTTCAGGTCAATCCTGTCTCCCTAGACTGAAACTTTTAGTTTTTCCTTGCTTGTCCAACGGCCTTTTCTCTGAGAGCGTCAAGGACGCGTGAAAATGTGTAAAAGTAGCTCTTCACCATCTCATTTCTTCGCAAAACTTCTGCTCTCAAGTATCTTGAGTTGAGGAGCACTGTTTTACTGGGTCTTGATAAGGGTCACTGTTCTTAAAGTTATGATAGCCAAGTTATGTAGCAGTTGGCAGAATTTGTTCAGAATTTTTTTTTCGCGAAATTTAGTTCTTGAAGAAACTGTCTACCCCAGGCGAGATTGACTTGACTCTTACCGGCGAAAATTGATCTGCCCAAAAACCCACTTTTTCAGTTTTGTAAGTCTGTTTCATCACTAAAGACCTCATAATAACTACGATTTCCTCGACATTTCTGTGCTGCTAAAATCACAATCATTTATTCTTTCGTTCTCTGATGATGGCTTTGCCTTCAAGGAGGAATGCTCAAGACGTAGCATTTCTTCGCATCGAATCGGCTTGTTTTCTTGTTTGCTGCTTTTTTTAATCGAATAGGTGTGTCATCGCCGTGGATTCCACGTGTTTCGCTCTCTCACTCGATGTTTGCTCCCTCACACTGCGTTTGTGTGCATTTGGCTGTCACCAGTCATTTCGGCGACGATGAGCCATGGCTGTTTTTTCCAGCGTATTGCATTTTTAGTGCTTTCCTTCATCTATTCAGAGACACGGGAAATCTTTCGAGCTGTGCTGACAACATCTCTTTCTGAACTTTTCACGATTCACTCTTCTTGATTCGCGTTCCAAGAGCTCATTAGACAGCGTGAATGACAATGCCGTCTTGCCGACTATATGAGGATTCCCTTGAACGTTCTAATGTTCCGTCTATTCTTATGGGAATACTCCGCAGTTTCGCAGCACTGCTTTTTCCAACGATTTCCTAGAGATTTTTTTTATCTTTTCTGATGGTTTCGAGTTTAATCGATACTTTTATGCTCGGTTGCAATTGAATGCTGTTCTTCGGATAAGTCGATCCTCGCTGGTGCGACTACTTTAATCGATCATCAATCGTTAGAATTGATATCAGATTACCCAAGTCGTCGGTGGTTATCAGCTGTTGCGATAGTTCTCAGTTGATAGATTGCCGCCACCTGATAGATTAATGTAGATGAATGGCAGGTGTACGCACCATGCGCCAGTCGACTGTTTTATTTATCTGCACCCCACTCGGCAGTGGTAACTCCTTTGCGATCAATAGCACGCCATATCACAATGTAACATCAACTGTTCATTTCCTTTTGCGACCACAACGTTGTTGCCATGATTGCGTTCAAAAAATGTAGCAAGCTGTTCGGAGAGCAAATAATGCTATTAAAGGAGCTATCGCAAGATACGGGGGCATAGTGGTTGCAGTGCATTTGAAATCGCGTAAATCATCTCCTCCTTGAAATCGAGGCTAAGCGGAGGGGGAGAAGCTTCAGCTGCGTAAGCAGTTTTTATTTTCCATGAAGTTGCGGCTTCCTTCTAGGTTTAGTCCTGGAGGGTTCCCGCGTATTTAGCGCCCTATGAGGTTACTATTTTGGAGGGCTTGCAAGATTTTTGATGGTTTTTGAGCTGTTTTTCTGTGTATCCTTCTTGTGCATGTCAGGAAGGAAATCGAAACACAACAATCGCTTCGAATATATTATTGTGCTATCGTGGGTGCTCCAAAAGAGCTGCCGTGTGCTGCTCGTTAAAAGAGCTGCCGTGCGTACATATTTAAGAGTGCTTCCTGGGAGCTTAAAGCTCAGGGCTTGAAATAAATGAGAATGGGAGTACGAACGCTTTCGGCTTTTCGGTGCTCAGCTGAATGGGGCGCGTGAGAAAGGATATTTCCAATCAAGGACACTAGAGCTGCTGCTGGGGTCACATTGGTTTCAGGCGACCGCTTTGGAAATAACTTCTATTCGCTCCTCTTTCCTCCTATTCGCCTCCTCTTTTTCTCCGTGAATTCACCGGTTTGTGTTTGTGGTTTCCTAATGGTTCCCAATGAGGTAGCGGAGAGGACAAACCAAGGTAAACAATATTGATGACTGCGATGGTCTATTTTTGTCCGGGTTTGTGAACTTGTACTGGCAATGTGTGGCTTAGAAGTGTCAAAATAGCTCCGGCAGAGTGATGTCTGTTACATCTGCTGGGTCTTTTTTGTCTCATGAATGATTCATCCTGCTATTAAACATGGGCTCCGAAATGTACTCATCGTGAAACAATTCGTGAGGCTTTACAAGCCTAAGGAAGGCTGAGAAAAGGCGTGTTAAGCCTATGGGTTAAAGTGAGCTATCATCATTCGTTCGAGGCGATCCGAGGGGAGAAGCAGTGTGCCTAGTAAGCATAGCGTTTCCTGGCTATGGCAGACACCCCTACCATAATTCGTTCGGGAACGATCGTGCGGGCGGTCACGAAATACGCATTTTGTGCAGTGGTGTTGTTTGCGGAGGATTCTGCCACTTTGACAAAGGGAACCTGAATCCGCTGTGTACAGACGTCTTGATACGGCCCGAGTGGAATGTTTGGAAATAAGCTAGACAGATCGTTGCCCGATGCATTTTCGACGGCGTTCTGTCAGGCTACATTTAAGTTAACTTAGGAGAATTGCGGGAACTTACTTCTATTCTCGCTTAGCACGGATGGGAAAGCGTAGCAAGAGGTGCGTACGTGCCTGACGTCTTTGAGGTTCCTAGAGAATAATTGATTCGGGAAATGATTACAAACTCTGTCATCGACAGCTCTTGAACAATTTTTATTTTATTATTTTTTTTTACAATTTCTATCATTATTTTTACAATTTGTTCGTACGTGCTTTTGTTTTTTATTTACGCTGACATATATCAGAACTACGTCAGCTTAGTTATTTTTCCTTTGTTGGCTACCCGTGAAACAAAGGTGGGGCGTCCTTTACCACCATTGTTCTGAGCCCGAATTCCGCCAAAGCCGATGCGAGCTCTTCCAGAGACTGCCAATGGTGGAATGCCGGATAAGACGCACGTTGGAACCTAAGAAACCCTGAACCATGATAATGAACTTGGCGCAAGTATCGAGCCAATGATTAATACGAGTACCGAGAGATGTGCCCATTCGATTGCATGGCAGATGTTCTTGCGTGCATTCGCGGCCTTTAGGTCTATTCTGGAGCCGTACCCTAGAGTAGGCCTAAAGGCAGCGGTTGACCATGACTTACCAGGCTAGGGGGAACACAGATCCCTTCGAGTTTTTTGGTTCTCTACGGCATAGTTTCCTAAGGTTGCTTTCTACAAATGCAGAAACATCAAAAGTAGGCACAATTTATTCAGGCAATTGTTGGACAAACAATGAAAATTTATTTAACCCCCCGCTCGGGCGTTAGGGCAAGATGATGTTCTCTTCCCCTAGCCGAGGGAAAGGAATAGGATACGGCTCGATCCTTGTGTGACCAATGTGGGCTTGGTAATTCTTAATCTAATGTCACGTCTCTTCGAGTGTTGCTAATAGCCTTGCCCGTTCAGTGTAACAGCGGAGAAATTGGCGCGGACCTCATTCGTTCTGCTGTTCGTGGTCTTGCTGACGCTTTTCTCCTATGGGAACTAGCGTCAAAATAACGTTCTTTACGTCTTGACTTATTCCTCACTAAGTTTTGTTGCGGCGAGTAACAGCCTAGCTGTTACGATGTTATCACGCCTCGATGATGTTAATTAAGCCGGTGTCCAATCCTTAGCAATTGTTTCGCCCTATGGATTAGTGCTGTGGTAAATGGCTTGGTGCGCGAGATGGGCGGAGGGGGTATCAGTGATCAAAAAGTTGTCTGTATGGCCTTAGGAGCTTGCACCAGCGGGACCCAACGGAAGCAGATGTGGATGCTCGTTGCCCTTTCATACTGCCGTCACTTAGCAACTAGTCGATGGATAACGCTAAGTGACGAGTGGTGTTGTTTTTATGTGAGGAAATCCGGCTAACGGTGGTTACTGGCTTTTTTAAGGCCCCCATGTTTTATTTCATAAAATCTTAATTGTTGAAGATCCTCATCTTTACTGATTTCGTTATGAAGTGCTTTTGTTTTTATTTATTCTCTTGTTTACTTCCAATGTGATCAGCAATATTGTTTGATTGCTAAGTGAGAATTTCGCCCCCTCTTTCTTCCTGTCTTTGTACCCATCTCCACTGTTGTCAGCTCGCTTGTGCGTTTTCGCCCTGCTAATTTTCTATATTCACCTTTTATTCTTTTATGGACCAATCTTTCTTTGATTTATTAGTATTTCCTTTGTGCGAGTCTTCACGCAAGCTTCTAAAATCCCTTGTCGCGGTTTTGTTTTTTTCCTCAAAAGTGCATGATGAATTGGATTTCCGGAGAAGTCTCTTGAGCGATGATTCATGTATGTGTGAATAAGCTCAATGCTTCTGAATTTCGAAGTTTCTTCCAGCTTCTTTTTCGACATCTTTGAAGTTTTTTTTTCTCACGAATTCAAGGTAAAGGTTTCATGAGACCCTGAGAGCTATGTAAGTGAGGGTAAAGGGCCCTCGTGGTGAGATAAAGCTTCAGAAAAGTCTTTGATCCATGACTTTGCAACTTCCATGTTATTGGCTTCGTGAGAAGAAGTCAGATAATAATTTTGAGCCATTTCACATGGTCAATTGCGATTTTAGTGGGCTATTAAAGGAAAAATGGAGCATTTGTAATGAGCTAGGTCGTAGGGATGTAAGATAGATAGCACAGGAATGTTATCCCTTCAGGCTTTTTTCTTTTTTTTTGCCCAGCTCAAGATTAATCGCTTTCTCGGGCTATACATCTTTGTTCCAAAGATTTGGACCGTGGCAGAAGTTTCCTCTGGTTCATTTTGCTCTGAAAATTTCCACAAGTCCATTGTGCTGAAATACGCCTTCGACATATCTAAGGTAATGAGAAATATATCGGATCGGACATTTTCCTCTTCGAAGTTTTACATTTCGACGATGTCTCTGATGGATTTTGCTAGCCAGAATTCTTGACTGGTCGTGATTTCTATTGAATTTTCTTCCCTCGAGGTCGTAATACATCACATAGTTTGTACGTATGCTTGAGCGAACTTTACCTGGGCAATTTTGTTGCTACTTGCACGCTAAATAACAGGGCTACGAATCGATGGCTCAATTCGGAGTTGACGTATTGCGGAGCGAAAAGCAGTGGCTCGTGACTCGCTCGACTCAATTCTTATTGGCTTAATATCGAGACAGCGGGGGGTGAGGGGGGATTCCGGTAGGAGAACCCCGGCGGATGAGAAGGATAAAGTGGACTATTGAGCACGAGTGTTGATTGTAAGGCTTGCTAATTGGGGAGGAACAAGAAATCAATGAGCATTTGTCGTGCGGCCCCGAGAGATGAACGTGGAAAGTCCGATCTCTGTCGATGACCAAAGATCAGGGACGTTGCCATGTTCGCTAAAGCATCGATGATCAAGCGGGCATCATGGTTTGTTATGCGATCGCACTGTTGATTCACAGTTGGATCGCGTGGAACGTCAAGTGATCAGGATACTCGGTGATTAGCCTTTTTAGAGAGAGATATGTGCGAAAGATTCTGTGGGATCTACTATGGTCAGTAAAGGCTGATTCACTGAGGTTCACTGGCCCAGCTAGAATCCAGGGGGCTGAAATGAGCGGTGTACCCCATCGGGTTGCATCATACGTTAGCATTTTCTACGCAGAGAATTAACCTGAGTGCGCGAAGAATTCGGGCAGCTGTGTAACGAAATTGGTCACCCAAAATCGGACCTGCTCGCAGTTTCGAAACTTTTCCTACCCAAAAAAATGCCGCAACCATAGGAATGATCAAGTGGGAGCTGATCGAGGAGTCACGGGGCATGGTTGTTCTCCTAGATTGATGCTCATTGCTCAGGAGAAAAATTCAAATGAAATATGGAGATGTTCTAGGGAAGCGGATTCCATTCAACGTCCTTTATGTCCTCTTTTGAGTGGCCTCATTAACTGCCGGAAATAGGGGGTCGTATCCCATCCTTCCCCTCGGCTAGGGGAATGTAAAATACTATTGAATTTGACTTGTCTTTTCCACAAAAGTTGCCCTGAAAAATCGCATATTCAACCGTATATTTGTGTAGAAGCAAACAAGGGCGAAATGGAAGGGAACAGCGTCGTTGAAATAAATTTACGGGACTCTTCTCTTCCCCTTGCCTGGGGGAGGAATAGGATACGAACCCTAAACTCACCTGAGTTGTGAAAAGCAAATTTCGGGGGCGTTTACATTGCAACAACCCAGTTGTTTACTCGCTGTGCGCTGTGATCGATTTTATGTTGCCGTATGGCGGAACCGGTTCTTACCAGAAGTGAATGACATCATTCATCCTTCCAATAGTGGTATTCTGGTAGTTTTTTGCTTGGAGACCAAAAACATATGCTGACTTCATCAAGTTATTTTGCACAGCTGTTTTTCATGGTTATAAATTTGATTGGATGTCGAAAGTGGTGAATATATGTGAAAGGGAAAGGAGGAGGGTGGAATAGTAGATTAATTTCCGTCATGTGAAAGAAATGGACGTCCCGAGAATCGCACTGGTGCCGAGTTGGGCGAATAACTCCCACGTCAATGGCAGTATGATTTTTTGAGATTGTCCTAATCTGACGGGTGTGAAATGCGCTCTTTCCACCTCATAGGGAAAGCTCCTTCTCTAGCATTATTGGGAAGCATTTTTGGTTTTCTGAGGTATCTTCTCTTATTTCATAATTTATGTCTTCTCTGCAAACTCTTCTTTTTACTCTTTCTCTCGCTTTCAGCAGAAGAGGATGATGAACCGTTAAGCATCGATCAATTCAATTATTCACTACGCTTTTGACTCCGACTAAGAACCACGGCGGTATTTGAATGCGTACTTTTTGCACGGTTCGCTATCGGATTAGGATTTTTACCCTATTAAAGGGATAGGTGGCAGCTAAACCCTGGAAGGATGAAGGATGTGGTTGCATTGAGCTGATTGAGTCCACATATCCTGCTCATGGTAGCAACGCCATTTATCACTTCTCCATCTTCATCCTTTCTTGCAATATAATTTTTTTGTGTAAGTGAAGCAGGCGCTACCGCAATATATGGGGGCATCCTAGAGAAGAAAGCTTAGAAGGGGGTAGCAGGAACTTTGGGAAAATGAAAATGGTCCGACTGCACCGGAGTCTCTCCTCTACCCTATGCTAAGTCCCATTTTTAAGACAGAAAAAGACGTATTTTTGCGGCTGGTTTGGAATACATTGTCCACCACAATGCCCCGTATCTTGCGATAGCGCTGTAGAACATTCGTCCTCTGTTAATTTTGAAAAGATTCATAGGGACAATCACAGGTATGAGCGGGGCCATACTTCTACAGTAAAGGTAAAGGCAGAAGAGCCGTTTTTTTGGTGAATATGAGTCCATTTCCAATTTTACTATTCGTTTCTTTTTCTCTCTTTCCTCTCGCTCTTGCTTTGCTAAGCACTAACCATGATTTTTCCTTATAGTTGATCTTTGGCTGAAAGGAAAGGACTAGAAAATAGGAAGGAAGTAGGTAAATTAAGGGGGCGGCGTGCAAAATGTCCATTCGGCTGTACTTTACTACCCGATCTACTTCTTGAAGTGTTTTTGTTCTCCATCTGCTTACCAGCCTTTCTGCCCCTATCTTTGGGGTTCCAAATTGACGTGATCCTCCAGTGCACTCT